TGTGAACCTTAAGGGTACTGGAAAACTAGAAAAAACGGTCGAATTTCGACAGTAACTGCATTTATAGTATGCATTGGTTAAGTAAGCAGAATCATTTTAGCCAAAAATGGTCTCGTTAGGTGGCGCCAGAGTCGAGATATTTTGAAAAACCCGCATTTATACTCTGATTTGTTTCACATTTGGCAAGTTCAGTTGAAACGTACCAAGACATAGATTTGCAAAAAATGGAGCCGCTTTCGGCGCTGACGGCAAAAAAAAGTAAATATTACATACTACAAATAGTCTTGCCCAATTCGCAGAGCTTTGCAGATTTGCAATCGAAGTCAAAATCCACTCCTCTTTTTTGTATCGTCACGCCAGCGTGTATGTTAAAACGCTACTACCACCAGTTGTATTTTTTTTTTTACTGAATAAAACCCATTTAATTGCTATGCAAATATAGATAAACCTTTATACAAATTTCACTTGTAAATTTTTATTTACATTAAAGGCGCTAAATAAATAAACTAAAATTATATGGACGAAGCAAAATACATTTTAAAACTCAACTTTTCTTAGGTCGATCTCTGAACCAAAGTGTTTTTAGACCGAAATTTCTTCTAAATCATACATAATTCTGAATCAAACAAGTTTTTGAGATCACTCTGGTTTTTCATGCACTGGCCGGGGGAAAAAATGGTGACAGGTAATAAGATCAACGGAAATAAGGTCAATTGACTTTATTTCGCACCATTACATTTTTAAAAGCGAAATAAAATCCATTGACATTATTGCTCTTTCAAACATTAAATTTGCGTACTCCGCGCGAGCGGCGCGCACACCACGTCACGATACGTCGCGGCCTCCCCCGGCCCCCTTCCCCGTCTCCCACCGTGCTGTAACGCAAGTAGATTTATTTTTNTGTTTTGAAAATGTGGCTTTATTTTATTGCTAAATGTGAATGATTAAAAGTAATGGCACCTTTTTTGGCACTTATATTTTTATATTTGGCACATTTTGGCACTTTTTTATCCCCAATATGGCACCTCATAACTAAGGATAGTTGGGGCAGTCCTGTTTGGAAGATTTCTGGTGTGTTTTGGCAACAACTTGTCTTCAGTAAAAAAGCATATAGTTTGTGTTTCAAAAGTGTGTGAAAACCAATCAATTAATTTACATGATCTCGGTTCCGATATTAAAAAATCAATAATTGTTAATACCCACATTTTGGCACATTGGCTTGAATGTGCCATCTTATAAATAGTGTCGTGGTTTGCCTTGCTTTTAAATGATGTTTGTAACATTGTTGGCGGAGACATGAATACAGTGTAAGACAATTCCTTTTCTATGATTGTTTCCTTATAGAAAGGTTGGTTTCTTTTCCACCTTAGACATTCCGAATTCCGAAAATATGCTAATTTAAAACACAGAATTCTTTCAGTGTTCCTCCGGGGTTTTTAGACATGGACTGTTTCTTCAATTTAATAGTGTTCGCTTTATTTTTGTGGAAACAAAACATGTTTAACAAGTTCTGGATCATTTCTACACTCTTTCTTCAAACATTTCTCGTATTCCAGCTGTGCTTTGCGTTTAGTTTTTCGCATCGTGTTTTTACATATTCGTAATTTTAAATTTTTTTTAATAGAATCACTTGGTGGTAGTTCATGATTGTGTGTGGATTAATATCACAACACTGAGGATTTGGCAAAAGCCTTTTTCTTCTATTAAAAAACAACACTTAAGGGCAATTTTGTTGTAAGAACAAAATTTTTTTCTATGAATCGACATACTTTAAGCATTGTTGACGCTATTTCCATTTGAATGAGGAAATGGCGTCAATGACTTTATTTCCAAATTTTTGTTAACTTTATTTCGCTTTTGAAAAGGTGCGAAATAAAGTCAATTGACCGTATTTCCGTTGATCTTGTTACCTGTCACCGAAAAAATATTACACTTGTAGTCTAGAAGCAATTTGAAGTACAAAAAAAACGATTTGGGTCACAAAATTGCCCAAAAAAGCTTTTAGTTAAAGTTAAATTAACATTGGGGAGCGAATTGAATTCTAGTATGGCGGTGTATTTGAGAGCACACTAACTGAATATCAAAACAGATAGTTTCAAGGATACATCTAAAAGAGTCTATTTGCATTAATTATGATGATGTGCACCTATGTATGCCGCTCAGATTTACAATGTCAATCAAGCAAAGTATCTTCAACTCTAAAATTTGTAGTCTTACTTTGTTTTTAATTTTTTATCTTGACATTAGACAGTGTAGTTCGCAAATACATATGTATTTATGTACATAAATACATACTTCCATACATATGTGCATACATACATAGGTGGAGTAGTTAATTTACAATGCCCAAGATAAAAACGTTGACTTTCGTGAAATGAATTTCCTGGCAGAAATGATAAAATATTTTTACAACGCCAGCATTTACATACATACATATGTATGTTTGTGCATACACGCATTCTTATCAATAGCAAACAGTAGACAGCAAAAATATGTAAATCAATCTCCTGTAATGTGTATATTAGAGCGTTTTACAATGTCTTGTCCAAAAAAAAGTTCAATTTGTTCCAAGCCATTTGAACACTCACTAGAGTATTTCAGGAATGTGAAAAAAATTGCCATCCTGTAAAAACATCTAAATCGTTTTGTGAGATGTCCGATTTATATAAATAATACATCTAGTAAAAGGTATTGTAATCAGAATAAATATTTTATGGATATAAGTTTTATGTATCGTTCTAGTTCAGTACATTAGGGTGTTCCAACATTTTTTTCTAGCTACCCCCCATGCTTCTCAAAAAAATACAATCGCCGGAGTAGGGGTAAAACTGTAGGTCCTTCCTCTTTGTTTGACAACATCAAGGCCACAAATCGGAGGAGAAGCTCGGCGAAACTCTAATTTATGTGTAAGCTCCAATCTATTATTATTAAGTATTATTGTTTACTTTGTAACGATAAAGTTTTGACCGTTATTTTTGACTTTTGTTGTTTCCATGATCCCATAACCGTTATTTTTAGGTCTATTTTTTAGATCAGTATTCATTGAAAACGGTCATAAAAACACAGTCTCCGTTATAGCGAATATTTTTTATCGAAAAAATTAAAATTTATAAAAATAACGATCACATCTGGCTGAACAAATAAAAACCTAAATTTTAGGATTATGCTTCATCAAAAAATAAAAATAAAAGTTTAACGATTATTCTTGATCGGCAAGATAAAAATTAAACTTTATTGATTATGCTTTACCGAAGAAATAAAAATGTAACTATTTCTTGTCCGAAAAAAATTAAAATTAAAAAATAATAATTTTGCAATGATCTAAAAATAAAAATTTTAGTATTAGTGATTATTTTCCTTTCCCTGCTAAAAATATTCACAGACCGCATACATTTACCTTCCAGAAAAAAGTTGAATTAATATTTTATTTTCTTTTGTGGAAAAAACTGGACATGTTTATCCCATGAGAAAGCGATACTACAGTATTCCCCGCTTAATTGCACAATTTTTGAAATGAAAATTATTTTGTGAAGTGAGTTAATTGTTTACCAAATTTAAACCAAATCGGGTAATAAATACAAATTTTCCCCGAGCGGGACTAAAAAACATTAAGTTTTTATTTAAGCACCCAATAATTCACCGAAGCTTCATCGCAGTCGTAAGAAATGCTATGGCTTCCACGAGGAACAATAGTCAATGTAATGGAGGAACCTGGAGGAGGCGAATGATTTTAAGTGAAACTTTTTCATGGCAGCAATACATTTGGAGGTTTGCCGTTGTCTTTTCTAATTTAGATGTCACTCGTACCAGACATCGTGCCCAGATCCAACGGAGTGTTAGTACGTGCCTCTAACCACTCAGGCACAGCGACCATTTATATAAGTGTAATTTTTTTCCTTAATAGAAATACATGTTTAGAAAAAACTGCATTCAAACTTTTCTTATAAAGTCACAAATTAAAAAGTGGTCCCTTTAGACCCCACGATAGTTAAGGGTTAAGGTTTTTTTTTTGCAAAAATTAGAGAAACCATTTGCTAATCTATAAAAAGTCGGTGACAGGTTATAATATCAACGGAAATAAGGTCAATTGACTTTATTTCCCACCCTGGTGCCAAATTTATAAAGAAGAACATACAGGCATGTTCTGCAAATCGTACGATTTTAAATTGGTGTTATTTGCAAAGTAGTTTTGTATATTTGAAATCAAATTATTAAATGTTTCAAATGCAAACTGCCAGAAACACATCATTTACATTATATCTATCGATTTAGTGCCAAATTTTTCCCTCTTTTTTATAAATACTCCGAAATAGATTTTATAAATCGCACCGATTTGAAATCGTACGATTTGCAGAACATGCCTGATAGTCTAGACTCTCTAGGCTATCGCTGAAACCATCGTATTCCGATTTTCGTAAAATGCTCGAAAATGAGATGATTGAATCTGAATTGCTACGAACGTATGCGCTCAAAGTGTATGCTTCATAGATTTTACGAAAATTAGGACTGCTACGGATTCAGTGATAGCCCTGAGTACCAAAATTTAAGAAACGAAACCAAATTTAGAAAAGTTTAGACAGTCAACACATGAAAACTGAAATCTAGGTCGCCATTCAAAACAAAGTACTATTTCAACTTAGATTCGTCTACTTAGCTTTAATGTATTGACTGTTTAAACTCTATGATTCGCCATTTTGGTTTGGTTTTCATTTGCTACCCATATTTATTATTTCAATAAAAATATTAAAATAAATAAAATTTAATTATTTATGTTTTATTTTATATTGACTTATTTTCAATCTTTGTTGCTTCGTTTTTTATTTTATTTTGCCTTAGTTTATTATATATTATTCTGTTTTATTTTCATATTTTTTTGTTTTACTTTATTTAATCATTTATGGTTTTTTCTCTGTTCATATCTTGTTTTACTCTATTTATTAAAATTAAATACTACCTTATTTGAATAAGAAATCCATTATTTTCTATTGAAATTCTTTTAGTACATCGTCTCAGCGCCCAGTCAATCTGAAGTGATCATAGGTATGTTTGTGCCATGGTGTAAGGATTGCAATGCCAATGTCCTACTGCAGGCGGTAGGCATTGTCGGTGCTGTGATAATGCCCCACAATCTATACCTGCATTCGGCCTTAGTCAAAGTAAGTTTTACTTACCTTAAATTTTTCTACGTATGTAAATTCACAATCTCATTACAGTCACGTGATATCGATCGCCGTCAACCGAAAAGAGTGAGCGAGGCGAATTACTACTTCTTCATTGAGGCGTCAGTGGCGCTGTTTGTATCCTTTATTATAAATCTTTTTGTTGTGGCGGTCTTTGCGCATGGCATGTATGGTAAAACCAATCAGGACGTGGTATGTAATTAAGCAA